GTCCCTGGATACATGTTCTCTAGGCCTTGTAGAAAACAGGGAGTGGGTCCTTTGGCAACACACATGGGAATCTACAAGAAAGGTGATAGTGTAGACACCAAGGGAATGGGTACTGTTCATAAAGGAATGCCCCATAAATGTCACCACAGCAAAACTGGAAGCATCTACACGGTCACCCAGCATGCTGTGGGCATTGTTGTGAACAAACAAGTGAAGGGCAGGATTCTTGCCAAGCGCATTAATGTGTGTACTGAGCATATTCAGCGTTCTAAGAGTGGAGAGAGCTTCCTAAAACGTGTGAAGGAAAATGACCAAGAAAAGAAGGAGGCCAAAGAGAAAGGGACCTGGGTTCAACTGAAGTGCCAGCCTGCTCCACCCAGAGAAGCCACTAGGTGAGAACCCGTGGGAAGGAGCCTGAGCTACTGGAACCTGCTCCCTAGGAATTCGTGGCAGGGTGGGTGTTAAAAATAAACTAATCTATGGTCTATTAAAAAAAAAAAAGAAGAAGAAGAGAAGAGGAGACAGGCACACACAGGGGACGGCCACATGAGAACACGGGAGGAGACGGCGTCTCCAGGCTGAGGACAGAGGGCTCAGGAGGGGCCAGCCCTGCCTTCCCTGGACCTTGGGCTCCAGCCTCCAGGACGGGGACAGGGGAAGGGTCTGGTTGCAGCCACCCAGACTGTGGGACTCTGCCATGACAGCTTCAGCTGAGGAATAGCGTAGGTATTACAGAAATTCAGCCTTGGTTTAGAAGGCAATTGCAGCATTGTCTCCCATGTCACGACAGGACGGGCTCAGGGCTTTTATTCCCTCCTCAGCTCACCAAGGTCAGCTCTCACTCATCCCTCTGCTCAGGACGCAGGAACTAGCCAGGCGTGTTTTCCCGGTTGCGAGGAGAAGCTGGTGACTCACTGAACTGCAAGAGCAGCTACAGGACAGTAATGCACTAGGAAAATGCAAAAGCTACTGACACATCCTCCAGCTCGAGGGGACAGACCAGGACTTTGGCGAGCCCAGGGCTCCATGGCTTTCTGTGGAGGCAGATGCAGGAGTGACCATAGTGGCTCAGCCCATGGCATGGCGGTTAGGAAGGCTTGATCCCTCACGGCCAAGTGTACGGATTGAGTCTCAGACCCGGTGGCTTGACCACCACGCCAGTACATGTGCGTGCATGCCCAAGAGCCTTATGGAGGGAGACATGGAGGAGGAGGGATTGCAAGATAAGCATGCCCCTTTCTTCTTTTGCTAGAGTGTGCATGGACTCATCAGAGAGAGAGACAGAGAGAGGGCAGAGAAGACCGCACCTCCCATGGGGAACGGTCATGCTACAATCCCTTCTCCTCCATGTCTCCCTCCTCGGGATTCCTGGGCATGCACACGCAGGCTCCCAGCATGTTTCTCAAGCTGTGGGCCTTCTGCATTGAACACCAGGGCGCACGGCTGACCAGACAAGCTCCTCTTTACGGTCAGACAGCACACTCTTTGTTCTGAACACACTCTGCTGATCGAAGGTGTTTCCTGTCAGAACTAGGTGAGCTGGGGGACCAGCAGGTGGTGTGGTGGTGAAGGCACTGGACTCCCACATGGCCAACAGCTGTTCAAGTCCCGGACCTGGTGGCTTGCTTTCTCACTTTCCCTCTTTCTCTCTCTGTCTCATTCTGGTCAAATTTAAAAAAATAATAAGTGAATGAATAAATAAAATAAAAAGTCAAAGAAATAATTAAAGAAAAAAGAAAGAAGTCGGTGAGCTGTCTCACAAGGACCTCCCAATTTGTTGGATGGTCTCACTCTAAGGTCCTCTGGTCCTTGGCTCTGTGTGCCTCTGAGCAAAGGGCTGAGTGAGTGTGCACACATGCATACGTGTGTGTGTGTGCATGCACTGGTCCTTCCCTCTGTGTATTTCTAGTACACAAGGCACAGTGTGTGTGTGTGTGTGTGTGTGTGTGAGCATGCACACGCACACAACTGGACCCCTCAGGGACCGAAACAGGATGACACAGCACAGAGGTGCCTACGCCGGACACCCACACGCAGAGCTCCCTGCACAAAGACCCCAGTACAAGATGCACCGAGGAACAAAACCGGAAGCCCTAGCAACGCCCCCGCCGCCCTGCCACACCCCCAGCCACCACCGCCTGCCCCCATCCGCATACCATGTGTGTTCCCATAGTTGTCATAGCCAGCATGGCCACCACCTCCGCCACCTGTTAGGTCAGAGAAGGTGAAGTTGAGGGACCTCAGGACACAGAGCAGGGCTTCCCGTCAGGACGTCATCCGGCTGCTCATTGGTGACACAGAGGTGTAGGGACAAACGACCCCCAACGTAGCCCCAGAGGGAGGTCCCCAGGGACGGGCCAGCATGGTCCCTCCAAACATCCTCCTTCCCTGTGGCAAAAGTCACTCCAAGACCGGGACTTGAATCCACACAGGCCCACACTCCTGCAGAGGGTGCAAGTGGATGCAGACACCCCACACAGGGCTCCCAGGGAAGAAGGGTGACCCAGAGGACGACCCCACTTAGCAAAGCTCTTCCTGCCTTCTCGTTACGATTTGGCTGTTTTGGCTGGTTCCCGTAAGCTCGCGGGGAAGGCTTTTTATCGCTTGCGTGTAAGCCTTATAGGAAAGATGAGTGTGAGCAACCTCCGGCTGTCTGTACACACAGAGGCGAACTAAAACTGCAGGACCGTGGGGACTGGAAGCCACGGGGGGGCACGGTGGAAGACACAGCCTCAAATGTGACACTGGTCAGCCCAGCTTCGCCTGTGTCTGTCCGTAACATTGCTTATAGCTTCGTTTGCACAGAAAGCATGTTGAACGCATGTTACTGCCTTTATAAAGAAATCTTTCTATGAAAAGATTTAGGTACGGGGACCAGCAGATGGTATAATGGCTATATAGTGGGACTCCCACATCGTTGACCTCAGTTTGAGTCTGGACCTGGTGGCTTAAAACTCACGCCGGGCGCGTGTGCATGCGTGCCCAAAATCCGGACAGGAGAATGGAGGAAGAGGGATTGTGGCATGCCCATTCCCCTGGGGGGTGATTTCTCGCTTTCTGTCTCTCTGTCTCTCTCTGTGTCTCCAGTGAGTGCACGTGCCCTATAGCAAAAGTCTCTCTCTCTCTCTCAAAAAAAGAGAGAAAAGTGGAATCTGAATGCCTCTCTGCATATTGCTGGATTGCATGGATTCTCAAACACGGAAGGGTGTGTACAGGTACCTATGTAAAGGTAGGTACACACAGGTACAAGTAGGTACACACACATGTGAAGTCATGCATGCAGACACGTGTGTATGTATGTCCGTAACTGCGTTCTCCTACCCTGCACGCCTGCTTCCATCCATACATGGAATGGCTGGATGCACAACCACACAGACACAGTGATGGGACCTCCTGCCACCCGGCATGGCCCCATCTCTTGAGGCTGACCGTCCCCTCGAGGTTCAATCCTGACCTCAGGGCTCTTGCACCACCCTCTCTGGGCACACGTGCATGGTCAGCACAGCTGCCCACGTACCTGCAGGTGGTCTGGGTCGGGGCCTGGGCGGGTAGCGTCCGTCATTCCGGTCCTCGTCATTGTAGTAACCTGCAGAGGAGAGCAGATGGCACATGTCCCGCCCAGACACCTCCTTCAAACTGGGTCTGTCTGACAGCCATGGGGACAGCGGAGGCAGGAGGAGTCTCCTTCTTGCAGACTCCTTTCAGGATGCCCACAGGCACTGGGACCCAAAAAGCCTCATGTCCAGGAGGGCGACCAGGTGGCCCAGTGCTCTGTGTGCAAGAGGCACATTTAGAGCACAGAGGAGCCTGCGGTGGGGTGTCGTCTCCTGCTCTAAGTCTTCACAGAGCTGGCGTGAAGCTCAAGACTAGTGTCTTCATGGTGCTAGGACCCCCGTCCTTGAAGTCGTCCACCTCCCAACCCCCTGAGCTCCACACTGTCCCTGGCTCAGAGTCCTCACCCTGTCATTCTTGGGGCTGCCTCCTGGTCATCCTTCCTGCCTCAGTGACCCTGAGACGGTCACGTCCATACTGGCCTGAGCCAACATGGCCTCTTGCCATCGGCTTTTTCCCCCCCCCCCCCCCCGCGATGGCCCTCTCTGTGCCCACGTATCCTGGGCCAAATACAACCTCACATCTTCGGGGTCAGCAGGTGGCAAAGTGGTTAAGGCGCTGGACTCTCACATGGTCGGCCGCGGTTTGAGTCCTGGACCTGGCAGCTTAAAACTCCCAATGGGTGCACGTGCATGATGGGTGCACGTGCATGCGTCCCAAGAGGAGAATGGAGGAGAAGGGATTGTGACGTGGCCATCTCCCCTGGGGGGTTGATTTCTTGCTTTCTGTGTCTCTGCCTCTCCAGCAAGCACATGCACCCTATCACAGTAATGTCTCAAAATAAAAACAAAACTGGCATCCTCACGAGAGCCTGGGAAGCTCTAGGCCTTTGCCTCTCTCTCTCTCTCTCTCTCTCTCCTTCTCCATCAAGCAGGCACCTTTGTTGGGGGTTCCTCTAACGTGTTACCAAATCTCCCTACCCCGTCTTGGCCCTGGTGGAACTCCTGCCAGGATCTGAGCTCCTTCAATCCCTACAACCCTCTCCTACCCCTCTCTGTGGGTTCCTGCACAAGGATCCAGTCTCCCTGTCTCTCCTGGCACCCCCGTGGTCCAGACCTGGTGAGGTCAACCCGGTGTAGGTGGTACCCTTGGTAAGGCCCCTCCACCGCCCCAGCCAGCCCTGGCAGAGGTTCTGCACACCCATCCACACCTGCTTCCTCCCGGGGAACCAAAAATGCATCTGCAAGAAGGAGAAGTTCTGGGCCAGCCAGTGCCATGGCAGTTAAGGCTCTGGAGCCCATATGACCGACTGGATGGTTCAAGTCCTGAACCCAGCAGTTTACAAAATATGCCAGGCATGTGTGCGTGTGTGCCCAAAATTCTGAAAGGAGAGTGGAGGAGAAGAGATTGTGGTGTGGCCATGCATCATGGAGTGTGATTTCTTGCTTCCGTCTCTTCCTCCATCTCTTCCTCTGTCCCAAGAGCATCTGCCATATGGCAAGATAAAAGAAGAAGAGGACAGAGAAGAGGAAGGAGTAGAAGGAGGGGAAGCAGAAGAAGGAAGAAGAAGGACAAGGAGAAGGAGAAAGGGAAAGTCAGAAAAATGAAGAAGAAGAGGACAGAGAAGAGGAAGGAGTAGAAGGAGGGGAAGCAGAAGAAGGAAGAAGAAGGACAAGGAGAAGGAGAGGAAGGAGGAAGAAGAGGGAGAAGAAAATGAAGAAGAAGAGGACAGAGAAGAGGAAGGAGTAGAAGGAGGGGAAGCAGAAGAAGGAAGAAGAAGGACAAGGAGAAGGAGAGGAAGGAGGAAGAAGAGGGAGAAGAAAATGAAGAAGAAGAGGAAGAAGAAAAATAAGAACAGGAATGGAAGAATAAGAGGAAGGAGAAGAAGGAGAAAAGGAAGGAGATGATAAGGAAGAAAAAGAAGAGAAGGAAGAAGAAGAGGCAGAAGAAAAGGAAGGAGAAGAGGAAGTAAGGGAAGAAGAGGAAGAAAAAGAAGAGGAAAAAGAAGAGGAAGAAGAGGAAGAGAAAGAAGGGGAGTAAAAAGAAGAGGAAGAAGAAAAAGAAGGAGGAGGAGAAGGAGAAGAAGAAGGGGAAGAAAAAAGGGGAAGAAAAAGGGGAAGAAGAAGGAGAACGGGAAGAAGGAAGAGGAGGAGGAGAAGAAGAAGGAGAAGAAGGAAAAGAAGAAGGGGAAGAAGAAGGGGAAGAAGAAGGAGAATGGGAAGAAGGAAGAGGAGGAGGAGAAGAAGAAGGAGAAGAAGGAAAAGGAGAAGAGGAAGAAGAAGAGAGGAAGAAGAAGAAGAAGAAGAAGAAGAAGAAGAAGAAGAAGAAGAGGAAAAGGGTCCTAGTTCTCCAAACATCTACCCTGTGATAGCATTCTATGCAGAAGACCAGCAGAGAGAGAAAAACACAGGCAAGAGAGAGCAAGGAAGCGAGAGAGAGAATCCCAAGAAGGTCTCCATGCCACGATCCAGCCCTATGCTCAGCTGGCCCGGATCACGAGTATGTGCAGCTGGTGAACTCAGGAAGCTCCCGGGATGCAAACCCAGGACCAGGTGTTGCTGCCCACCATCACCCCAGCTGGCTTCTCTGAGTAACTGACCAACGCAAGCCCCATCTCCTAAAACAGCCTTTCTCCCCGACCGCATTCTTACTGCCAACTGCCCCTGCTCCCATCTTTCACAGGTGTGTGCTATAGGCTGACCTCCCTGGGGTCCAAGGGTGACCCCCAACGGACTGTCTTTCTTTTATCTTTCTTTTTTTTAAGTGTTGCCATAGGGTATGTGTACTCCCCAGAGAGAGAGAGAGACAGAGACAGAGAGAGAGAGGCAGACAGAGAAAGTAAGAAATCGTCCCCAGGAGAGATGGCCATGCTGCAATCCCTTCTCCTTCATTCCCCTTTTGGGATTTTGGGCATGGATGCACACATGCCTGGTGTGTTTTTCAAGCTGCCAGGTCTGGGACTTGAACCACACAATCAACTATGTGGGATTAAGTAACTTTCACCATTTTACCACCTGCTGGACACCCACTCCCTCCTTTTTTAACATGCATTGACCAGTTTATCTTTTCTTCTTTAAAAAAAGACAGTTGTTTATCTAATTGTATTTATTATTATTATTATGTTTTAATTTGCTACAGGGAATGTGAGCTTGCGAGAGAGAGAGGGAGAAAGAGAGAGAGAGAGAGAGATGAGGGAGGGAAAGCGAGAAAGCAAACTCCCAAATGTGGGACTCAAACCGTGGTTAGCTCTGTGGCAATCCAGTACCTTAACCACCATGCCACCTGCTGGTCCTTCTTGGTTTACCTTTTCTAGGCTTTCAGTAATATGAAAAGGGGGCTAGCAAGTGGCATGGTGGTTAAGGGCACTGGATTCCCATATGGCCAACTGCGGTTCAAGTCCTGGACCTGGTGGCTTGCTTTCTCCCTCTCTGTTTTTCCATCTCTGTCTCTCTCTCTCTCTCCCTGGTCAGATTAAATAAGAAGAAGAAATGGAATTCAAATAAATAAATCCTTAAAAAAATATGAAATGCCTTTGAATGCATTGTATGTTCTCAGTAGTTACCCTCCCCCACCCCCCAATAAATACATAAATACAATGTGTATTTGCTGTGAACCAAATGTAAACCCAGGTGCTGGTTACCAGGAGCAAAACTGGACTCCTGGGGAAGTCCCCCGTGTGCCTTTCAGAAGCAGCAAGTGTCCCACCACCCAGGTTAGAAGGGCACGGCGTTACACAAGACGCGACAATCTTGTCCTCCTCAACCGGGTCTTCCACTCAGTTCTCTCACCTCCGCCGTGGCCAGGATTGCCAGGCTGCGGGTAAGATGGTGGCTTGGGCTTTGGGTAGATGTCTGTGGGAAAAGGACATGATGGTTTCAGCAAAATAGTAACATTTTCCAGGTATGAGTCATCCACTCACAAGAATACCAAGACACACACCAAAAAAAGGTACATATTGTATCTGCCGCACATTGACTCTGTAGAAATTAGTCAGACGTGTAGTAGACATTAACATGAGCGCCTCGAAGGATAAAATTTACAGGGAAATAAACACTTTCAGGGCTGGCTGGTGGCCCGGGGGTTAAGGCGCTGGACTCCCATGTGGCTGACTATGGTTCGAATCCCAGACCTGGCAGCTTGTTTTCTCACTTTCCCTCTCTCTCTCTCTCTCTCTCTCGGGTCAAACTCAAAAAATAATAATAAGTATTAGGTCACTGGAAAAGTCATAATGTGTTTTTCCGTGCAAAAATGGATCGTGTTTTTCCCAATGACCTAGTGTAAGATTGAAGAGGGGACTGGACCAGCGGGTGGCACAATGGTCTCATTGCTGGACTCCCATGTCATTGACCATGGTTCACATTGGACACACGTGCGTTCGTGCCCAAAATCCAAACAGGAGAAGGGGTTGTGGCGTGGCCATCCCCTGGGGGTGATTTCTCGATTCCTGCCTCTTTGTCTCTCTGTCTCTCTGGCGAGCACACGTGCCCTGTAGCAAAAATCTCTCTAAACGAATCATAATGATAATTGAAGAGAGAGTTCTGTTCCCATCCTAGCACCTGCAGTGAAGTTCTAACCAGACTTCCATTTCGTCTTTGTTGGGTGTGTCCGTTGAATGCCCCTCT